TCCACGGGGGAATGGGCATGCCGCAATCCCATCTCTTCCATTCTCCTCTCAGGATCTTGGGCATGCACACACATGCGCCCAACGTGAATTCAAGCCACCGGGTCTGGGACTAGAACAGCAGTTGACTACATGGGAGTCCAGCGACATAGCCATTACACTAACTGCTTGTCCCAGCAATTGACCCTTATCATAGTGAGGAAGGAATTGCACCTACTTGTGTCTTGCACCTTTAAATACAAAGAACTTGAACTTTTCAAGACATTTGGTGGTGTTTCCTGTCTGTCTCCCTGTAACTCATTACAGAAATAAATTCCCTTTTCCAGCTTCTGCCCCTATTTTTATTGACCATGAGAAGAAGCAGTTGGACTTAGTCAACTGGTAATGATTATCAATTTACTGTCCTGGTCAAAGTTATGAACCAAGTAGAGGATATATACAAAGAACTTGAACTTTTCAAGACATTTGGTGGTGTTTCCTGTCTGTCTCCCTGTAACTCATTACAGAAATAAATTCCCTTTTCCAGCTTCTGCCCCTATTTTTATTGACCATGAGAAGAAGCAGTTGGACTTAGTCAACTGGTAATGATTATCAATTTACTGTCCTGGTCAAAGTTATGAACCAAGTAGAGGATATAGCCTTGTTTGGAATTCTTCCACACTGCTTCTAGTTCTCAAACTCTGGGCCAGTGATTTTCAACCAGACAGATTTTGTGCTTGGGATATTTAGCAATCTATGAAGAGATGCCTTTTAAAACCTATAGTGCATAGAAAAGCAGGCAACACAAATAATTCTGCAGGCAATATTTCAAATGTGAGAGAGCCTATTCTAGACCAGCACTTTTCTAATGTCAATGTGCATAGAAATCTCCAGGGATTTTAGTGCAGATGAAAATTCTGATTTGGCAAGTCTCCTGTGGGCCCAGAGACTCTGCACTTTATCATTACTATTATTTTATGATTTCTTATTTTCACTTACTCATTATACATATTTATAGTACAAAATTTTTTTCAAAATATGCATCCTTTTTTTTTTCAGCATTATTCACAATTGCTAAGACATAGAATTCATCTATGTGCCCAAGAATGGAAGACTAGATTTTTTTTTTAATGTGGCATATATGTACCAAGGAATCTTACTCAGCCATAAGGAACAATGGGACCTAGTCATTTTATGTAATGTATATTAATATAGAAGACTTAATGCTAAGCAAAGTAAGCCAGACTATGAAAGACAAACACTGGATATCCCCACTCAATATATACTGAATGTTTGTACTCTATTGCAAAAATTGAGACTCATTCTTCTTTCTTTCTTTTTATTTTATGTTATTTTATTTTCCTATTGGACATGAGGGTTTTGGGGAGAGCCCTCCTGTGAAAAGGCATTTTTTATTAAAATTTCATTTAAGGAGCGCAGCAGGTGATGTGGAGGATAAGGTGTTGTATTTCACATAGCTCCCTGGGCAGTTAGAGTCCCAGAGTGTGAAACTCATAGTGGGCATGTGCAGGTGTACCAATATCCTGAGAGGAGATCAAAGAAGGGAATGCAGTATGGTCTCCTCTCCAGGGAATGATATCTCATTTTCCCTCTCTCTTTTTTCTTTTCACTTCTGTTTCTTTCCCAAGTTTGGAGTTAATATATGAATAGAAAAATGGGGAAGAAAACTGTCCAGATACCAGATAGAGCAGAAAGTTTAATAAAGCAATTTTATTACATTGGATAAAGTAGTTGAAATGAAACAGAAGTTTCAGAAAATACATAGCTGGGACAAGTTCCCAAAATCTGATCATAATAAGTGCTCCATTATCCTCTTTTTCTAGGGGTCCTTGTCCACAGATTCAATCAACTGCAGATAGAAAATATTTGGAAAAAAATTAAACAGGGCTAGTAGGTAGTGTGATGGTTAAGATGCTGTTCTCCCACATGGTCTATAGAAGTTTTAGTCCAAGACCTGGCAGCTTGAAAATCACAATGGATGTGTGACCATGTGTACCCAAAATATCAAGAGCAGAATGGAAAAGGAGGTATTGCAGCATGGCCATCACCCCTGGAGGAGATTTCTCATTTTCCCTCTCTGTGTCAGTGTTGAGCAAACAAGCCCTATGACAAAAATCTTTTAAAAATTTAAAATTAAAAAATAAACAATGATTCTTTTGCTGTGCAGAAGTTTTTTAATCTCATGAAATCCCATTTGTCCTGTTTGGGGACTACTGTCTGTGCTTTGAGGGTCTTGTTTAAGAAGTCTTTGCCTACTCTGATGTCTCCAAGAGTTTCTCCAGTCTTTAACTGGAGAGAATCTACAATCCTCAGAATGGGAGACTATATTTGCAAACTGTGTCTCATATAAGGGACTAATAACCAGAATTTGCAGGGAACTAAAGCAGTTCACCCAGAAGAAAACTGACCAACCCAATTAAAAGATGGGCCAATGAGCTGAACAGACAATCCTCTAAGAAAGACACATGAACAGCCAAAAAGCATAGGAAAAAATGCTCTACATCTCTTATGATAAGGGAGATGCAAATCAAAAACTACAATGAGATGCCACCAAACTCTAGTCAGAATGGCTAATATTACAAATAAATAATAGTAAGTGCTGGTGAGGCTGTGGAGAAAGGGAAAGCTCCTACACTGTTGGTGGGAATGTGAGTTGGTCCTGTCACTGTGGAAGACAATATAGAGGTTCCTTAAAGATCTACAAATAGAACTACCATGTGATCCAGAAATTCCACTCCTGGGTATCTACCCAAAGAATAGGAATGCACTCAGTTGGAAAGACATTAGCACATCCATGGTCATTGCACCATTATTTACAATTGCTAAGACATGGAACCAATCCAAATGTCCATGAACAGATGAATGAATTGAAAAAGTGTGGCACATATTCACTATGGAATACTCACAAATTAAAAAAATGAAATCTTAGAATTTGTTACAAAATGGATGAATTTGGAAGATTTACTGCTAAGAAAAGCAAGCCAGACTCTGAAAGAAAGGCATCGTATGTTCCCACTTACTATATACTGAATGCCTGCACTCTATGGCAGAAACTGAAATATTGGACAATATAGAAGCATGGAGAGCAACTGTAGATACTAGAGACAGTGTGGGAGGAGAGTGAAAAATAGCAAATGGTGAGAGGGAGGAAACCAAGGGGAGGAAATAAGTAAAATAGTTAAGAAACACAAAATGGAAAATTATCTGTTGAAGATAATATGTATGGTAATATCTTTGATTGAGCCAATATACAGTGTATTCTGGATGGGAAAATTCATTTTGTATGCTGTAATGATATACACTGAATGAATGTAAAAATAAATAAAAAATAGAAACATAAAAACAAAATACAAACTCTTGAAAAATAGCAGTATGGGGCCAGCCAGGTGGTATGGCAGTTAAGATGGTTAAACCCCACATGGCTGCAGACTATACAGTTCATGTCCCAGACATGACAGTTTGAAAAACACACTGGTTGCTTGTACATGCATGCCTAGAATCCTGAAAGATAATGGAGGAGAAGGGATTGCAGCATGTTCATCCTTTTTGGAGAATAATTTCTCACTTTCCCTCCATCTCTGTCTCCATCTTTGGCTTTCTCCAGTGTGTACACATATCCTATAGCAAAACTGAAATTTTTTTAAGAAGCAATACATTCAAGAGATTAGCAGATGGTATAGTGTTTACTCAATAAACTCACACATAATCTGCCATGGTTTGAGTCCTGGACCCAGCGGCTTAAATCTCATGTTGAGTGCATGTGTGTGCATGCCCATTCTCCAAGAGGAGAATGGAAGAGAAGTGATTGCGGTGTGGCCATCTCCCCCACAAAGGATGATTTCTCACTTTCTGTCTCTCTGTCTCTCTCTGTGTCTCTCCAGGGAGCACACACACCCTGTAGAAAAAAAAATTTTTTTAAATACATTCAATATATTTTTTTTTAATTTTTCTGTCTTTCAAATGTTTCCTCCCCTTGAACCTTATGCTCAATAACATTAATTTTAAAAGCTAAATGGGATAACAAGTCTTTATGAAGTACTTACATTTTATTAGATATTATATGAAATCTAGAGATGATTTGAAGTATACAAAAGGATTTTTTATTAGGTTATATGCAAATACTACAGGATTTTATATACAGTACTTGAACACCTGTGGACTGTGGTATCTGCAGGAGATCCTAAAACCAGCCTTTCAAATTTACCAAAATACAGCTCTATTGTCATATAATAGCTTTAAGCTCTACATGATGGGCTCTGCTACAATACTAGAAAAGTTGACATTTTCATAACTTTCTTCCAAATAATCTTCTCAGAGCTCTCTTTGTATCTTTATTCCTCAGACTGTAGATGAAGGGGTTCAGCATGGGGGTGACTACGGTGTACATTACCGAGGCTGCTGCACTTGAGTGTGAGCTGTGGGTTGCAGCATTACTAAAGTACACACCTAGCCCCGTGCAATAAAATAAGGAGACAACTGAGAGGTGAGAAGCACAGTTGGAAAATGCTTTGTACTTCCCCTGAGCTGATGAGATTGCACGAATGGAGGAAACTATCTTATAGTAAGAATAAAGAATCCCAGTGAGCGGACCACCAACCAGCAGTACAAGTACCAAGTACATTACCAGATAATGAAGAAAAGTGTCAGAACACGCCAGGTGGATCACCTGATTAAGCTCACAGAAAAAGTGGGGGATTTCCACATGTGTACAGAAAGACAGCCGCAATGCCATGAAACTTTGTAGCAAAAAATACAGGATACCCATTGTCCAGGATGCCAGAACCAGGTTCCCACAGAGCCAGGGGTTCATGATGACCATGTAGTGCAGGGGGTGACAGATGGCCACATACCGGTCATAGGCCATCACTGTCAGGAGGAAGTTGTCCAACATAACAAAGAGGTTGAAAAAGTTCATCTGGGTGATGCAGCCTGCATAAGTGATGACTTTGCTCTGTGTCTGGATGTTCACCAGCATCTTTGGGATGGTGCTGGAGGTGAAACAGACGTCTACAAAGGACAGGTTAGAGAGGAAGAAGTACATGGGGGTGTGCAGGTGGGAATCTGAGATGGTGGCCAGGATGATGAGCAGGTTTCCAATCACAGTGATCAGGTACATGGAGAGGAAAAGCCCAAATATGAGGGACTGCAATTCTGGTTTCTCGGAAAATCCCAGAAGAAGAAATTCTGAAATTTCTGTATTGTTCTTTGGTTCCATCCAGTGGAGGTGACCTCCAGGAAAATGGGTAATGGCTTGACTAAATTTCACCAAATGGGCCTTAGTGATTCTGAAAGGTTACTGTTTATACTTTGCAGTCAAGAAATGAACACACAAAAATATGTTGTGTTTTATGGATGGATCTTCTCTCCTTTAGAGGAATCTTGTGCCATTTCTGATCAATAATTCTGGTCTCATCAACAGCCTTTTCCCCAGTCTAGGATTCTGCAGTTTCAGTGGGAAATTCTTTCATGCATTTGAAGACTGTCTATTTAATGTTGACCTTCTTGAAGACATTGTCCAGAGTTAGTTAGAGTTAGTTTTCTGTGCCAGAAAACAAACAAAAACGTTATCACAAGATGATGGTAAAAGGCCATAAAGGAGATACAGAAGCAATCTACAACTCATGAATGGTTTGAAAAACTGTGGCACATACACACTCAGGAATACTACTCAGCTTATAAAGAACAATGTAACCTCAACATTTGATACATGGTAGGTGAATATAAATGATTGAATGCTAAGTGAAGTCAGACTATGCAAGACTATACATCTCAAGACAATTTATACTGAATATCTACTCACTATGGAAAAAAATTTAAAGATTCAAAGATATAATAGTAGGGAAGACAAGTGTAGATACCAGAAATGGTATGGTATAGAGCTGGGTAGTAGACAGTGCGTGGGAAGGTCCCAGGGAAGAAACTTTTAACAGATACAAGAATACAAAGTTCCCTGTTGACACTGATATCTATTGTAATATCCTTTATTTGGTTGTTGTGTACTTCATATATATATATCGAAAAGCATATTGTGTGCTATTATAAAAACTAAATAATCATAACATGTCAAATGGTGACAGGTTCTATGATAAAAAATTTAAAAAAAAAAACCACCATGTAAGGAGAAGATGTTGACACTGATATCTATTGTAATATCCTTTATTTGGTTGTTGTGTACTTCATATATATATATCGAAAAGCATATTGTGTGCTATTATAAAAACTAAATAATCATAACATGTCAAATGGTGACAGGTTCTATGATAAAAAATTTAAAAAAAAAAACCACCATGTAAGGAGAAGAGAGTGGATGGGGGTATTTTTTTTTTGTGGGTGTTCAAACCACACCATCAAGTCAGGGGACATCTGAGCAGACATCAAGGAAGAGAGGAAGGCACCCACAGATGATCTGGGGAAATGTGTGGGAACACATAGTGACACATAGTGCAGAGGGCCTGTGGCAGGTGTTTGTTCCAGTTCCTGCTCCCAAAAGGAAGCAACGTGGGGAGGGCAATGAGCAAGAGGGATATTGAAAAATGAAGGAGTCAGAGAATGGTGAGGAAGGACAGGGTCTTTCTGGTAATTCAAGAAACTTTAGAACACAGGAAGTCCTTCTTTCACATACAGGTCTTTTTCTTTTCACTTTTTTTTTTAATTGGGAATTTTCCAGAGGGCACATGTGCTCAACAGAGAGAGGGAAACTGAGAAATCACCCCCCAAGGGGGATAGTCATGCCACAATCCCTGCTCCTCCATTCTCCTCTTGGGATTTTGGGTACACACACACATGCACCCAACAGGATTTTCGAACCAGAAAGTCTGGGATTCAAACTGCTGTCAACCATGTAGAAATCCAGTACCTTGACCATCATGCCACCTGCTGGCCCCACACATGTGTTTGTTTTCTTTATTTTCATCTGCTGGTTAGCATTTAGTTTTCTGCACTATAAGAATCTCTTTTTAGAACATAAGACCTCAGATATTCCTACTTGGAGAACTGATCTCTCCCATAAATTGCACATGCACACACATGCACGTGTGCATGCACACACACACACGCACCCTATAACTGCCTCCTGGTAGTGGCCATGCTACTAACACATCTTCTCACCCGACAACCTGATTCGGAAAACAACAAATACAAGGCAAGATATTGACACCAGATTATCTTCCTCTGAAAAAATATAGACAGTGCCTGCCACAGGGGCACAGCAACAGTGTCCCCTCAGAAACACCAGGTCCATGTGGAAGACCAGGAACAGGTGTCCAGGACTACTTGTACCACTGGGTGTGCAAACGTGTCTGTGTTCCTGGCTGCCAGAAAGACTGAGGGAAGGATAATGATGTGCCACACTAAGAAAGGTGCTTCTCTATTTCTCCCACAAACATGCACTATGAAGAAATTACAATTTCTTTTTTTTTGGACAGATTTGTTCTCTTAAGTGCACCATAGACATGTAAAGTTGGAGTTCCATTTTAAGGTGCCTATATTGCACTGTGTGTTTAAAGAAATTTTTTTTTTAAAGTGCAATAGGGACCAGCAAGTGGCACAGTGGTAAAGGCACTGGATTCCCCCATGTCTGGCTGCAATTCGAGTCCTGGACCTTGTAGCTTGAAAATCATGCCAGGATGTGAGTGCATGCCCAAAATCCAAAGAGGAGAATGGAAGAGAAGAGATTACAGTGTGGTCATCCCTTTCAGGAAGTGCTTCCTCACTTTCTCTCTCTTCGTCTCTCTCTGGTTAGAGCACATGCTCGATAACAAACTCAGGGACCAGCAGATGGCATAATGGTTATGTCACTGGATTCCCATGTGGTCTACCATGGCTTGAGTCCCAGGCCTGGAGGCTTGAAACTCACACTGAGCAAGGGTGCGTGCATGCCCAAAATTCCAAGAAGAAAATGGAAGAGAAGGTATTGCAGCATGACCATCCTTGCTGGAGGGTGATTTCTCACTTTCTGTCTCTCTGTCTCTCCAGGGAGTGCATGTGCCCTATAGAAAAATCTCTCAAGAAATGCAATAAACAGGGACCAGCAGTTAGCGACTACGCTGGACTCCCACGTAGTCGACCGTGGTTCAAGTCCCGGACCCGTATGCGTGCGTGCCCAAGATCCTAAGAGGAGAATGGAGGAGAAGGAATTGCGGTATGGCCATCCCCCCTGGGGGGTGATTTCTCAATTTCTGGCTCTCTGTCTCTCTCTGTCTGTCTGGTGAGCTCACGCACCCTATAGCAAAAACCTCTCCAAAAAAATTTTTAAAAATGCAATAAACAGAAAGAAATGGTCTCCAGGGAGAATAAAAGAAAAAGATTTAATAAACTTGGGTGGTCCCTGAGACACCAACACCGAGAGAAAGCTCCCTTTGTTCTGGATGTGTTCCAATACTGGTTTTATCCCCATGATGACTCAGATTACTAATCAAGTGACCAAAAACTGTATCTGAAAGAAAAAGGGGAAATAGCTTTACTGTGTAAAAACATGTCACAGTAAATATGGAAAACTCCAGAAGGAAAAGAGCAAAGGGAATAAACCAACAAGTCACAAAATAACACAAAGTATGAAAAAAGTGGAGAATTTTAAGAGAAAGGAAAAAAGTATTTAGTAAATAAAATGAAATGCAAAAGTATCTTTTAGCATCAGAAAACTGTTTTGCATTTTGGGTCTACCACACACTGACTGTTTGAACGTGGACCACCAACTCTACTATTCTGAATACTATTATAGCATCTTCTACACAGCGAGGGTCATGCTGTCCATCCCCTATAATCCCTTCTTATTTGTAAATGAATACCTATCACTGGTGATGAGACAAGACTGGTATTTTACTTCTATTTCTCAATGATCTGATTCCTTCTCCACCCGTAAACCCCCAATTCCTCTCTCTCTTGCTCTCTCTCTCTCTTTTTTTTTTTTTGCGAAGTTTTTTCTTTTTGAAATAGGGTGCGTGCACTCACCAGAAAGACAGAGAGAGACAGAGAGACAGAAAGCGAGAAATCACCCCCCAGGGGTGATGGCCATGCCACAATCCCTTCTCGTCCATTCTCCTCTTGGGATCTTGGGCATGCACGCACACGTGCCCAGCGTGAGTTTAAGCCACCGGGTCTGGGACTCGAACCGCGGTCAACTACATGGGAGTCCAGTGACATAGCCATTACGCTAACTGCTGGTCCCTCTTTTTTTCTTTTAGAGACAGAGAGATTTTTGCCATGAGGTGCATACACTCTCCAGAGACACAGAGAGGAAAAGATGGATATTCAATATGCCCAACTGAGAGATGGTTTTAAACAAAATTTATAAACATCCACATAGTACTTCACATGTATTTAAACCTATACATAAAAATTCCATGCACGAGTTTAGATTTATAATGAAAAACTACATGCTTATCTCTGAAAGTAAGCTTCGTTTTACAACATCCATTGAAAAACAGTGTAAAACCCAAAACCAAACATTGATGTAGAGCAAAATTGTACATCACAAGTTGTTCAACTTCTAAAGTTAAGTAAGTAGTACAAAGAAACAAAAAAAAAATTAAGTGGCAAACAACACTTGGTGGAGACAGAAAAAAAAAAAAAAAAGAGCTCCAATTTTTGTTTAAAGAAATGCAGTAAGGGCCAGCAGGCAGCATGGTGGTTAAGGCACTGGACTCCCACATGGCTGACCAAGTTCAGTTCCTGGACCTGGTGATTTGCTTTCTCACTTTCCTTCTCTTCCTCTCTCTGTCTCTCTCTAGTAAGCATATTTGCCCTATGCCAAATTAAAAAATACATGAGTAAAATTAAATATTTTTTTAAAAAGAAATGCAATACAAAGTACTTGGACTAACAATTTGCAATAAATAAGAAAATCAATAGGCTTATTAGTCCCAAATATATTGTCTCATCAGTAATTAAATAATTGACAAGTAAAACTCTTTAAGATCCCTCTTTTGACATAACATTTTTTTTTCTATAGGACTACCCAGCTTGAGAGAGGAAAGTGTAAACATGTCTCATGGACTACTTTCACCTGGTAGTAAACATGTCTCATGGACTACTTTTACCTGGTTTCAGTTGCAAACAACCCCTGGTCTTTTTTTTTTTTTTCCCTGCCTTAGACCCCATGCGGTCACTGAAGAAGAACAGAGAGAAATAGAGAGAGGGAACATGAGAAATCACCTCCCAGGGGAGGGAGAGGGGGTTGGTGGAGGGAACGTGAGAAATCACCTCCCAGGGGAGGGG